CCAGCCCACCCTGCCGTGACAGTGCCCCCACCACCCCTGCCGGCGCCACCCGGTGTCCCACCCCCACCCATCTTGCCGCCATTGCCACCCTTCCCGCCGGGGCTATTTCCTGTGATGCAGGTGGACATGAGCCACGTGCTGGGTGGCCAGTGGGGCAGCATGCCCATGTCCTTCCAGATGCAAACGCAGATGCTGAGCCGTCTGATGACGGGACAGGGCGCTTGCCCCTACCCACCCTTCATGGCTGCCGCGGCTGCCGCCGCTTCAGCTGGGCTGCAGTTTGTCAACCTGCCACCCTACCGGAGTCCCTTCTCCCTGAGCAACACTGGCCCAAGCCGTGGGCAGCACTGGCCTCCCCTGCCCAAGTTTGATCCATCGGTGCCACCACCAGGCTATGTACCACGTCAGGAGGACCCACACAAGGCCACAGTAGACGGCGTCCTGCTGGTGGTGCTCAAAGAGCTTAAGGCCATCATGAAGCGTGACCTGAACCGCAAGATGGTGGAGGTGGTGGCCTTTCGGGCCTTCGACGAGTGGTGGGACAAGAAGGAGCGGATGGCCAAGGTGGGCAGGTGGGGGTGGGGCACCCCCTGGTGGCCGGTGGGGTAGGGCAGGAACCCGGCCAGGCACCTCCTCTTCCCCCAAGACATGTCACTGGAAACACTGCTACCCACACCCCTAATGTGGGAGTTGCAGAACGAATCACTGCTTTCAGAGTTCTGCTGCCTGTGCTCCATAACTCAGCAGCCACTGGGTGCATGTGGCTCTTTAAAGGTAACTAAAATGCAATGAAATTGAAATTCAGTTTCTCGTTCACATTGGCTACACGTGGCTAGTGGTTGCCATAAGGGACAGCACCTGTGGAGTACATTCCCGCCATTGCAGATTGTTCCACAGCCAGGACGTCTTTGAACTTGACCCACCTACCTCCTCTAATGCCACCTTTTACATGGAGTCCTGTCTTGGCTGGGCCACTTTTTCCTTTTTAACATATTCTTTGTCTATTCATACTCTTACAAATAATCTGTGACTGCTTTCTCTCTACATAAGACAGAACTTTCTCTTTTATAGTCATGGATAACTTAATGATGGGGATACTTCCTGAGAAACGGGTGGTTAAGCAATTTTGTTGTTGTGCAAACATCATAGAGTGCACTTACACGAACCTAGGTGGTATAGCTACTACACGCCCAGCCTGTGTGGTACAGCTGTGGCTCCTACATGAGTAATGTGTTGTGCTACAACATCACAATGGCTGCAAGGTTACTAGATGATAGGAATTTTTCAGCTCCATTATGATCTTATAGGGCTGTCATCGTATATGTGGTCTGTTGTTGACCAAAATGTGGTTATGTGGTGCATGACTGTATTTTAAAATCCCCTCAATCACTACCCTAAATCCCAGTTCCCTCTGCTCCCCTCCCTCCTAGAGGTGACCACAGTCATCAGTTTCACTATCCCCCAGAGCATGCTTTGGGGAATGCCGTAGCTAAGAGCTTGCTCTCTGCAGTCCAGGTAAGTGACATCTGTCAGAGCCTGTGTCTCATCTGTATAATGGGGCAAAAAAATCACAATGAGCCATCTGAGATCATCGATAAACAACTTTTTATGGTTCAACCTAATTATGTTGAGTCTACCAGATTAGTAATAGTCACAGGTAACTAATAGCTATTCCATTAAAAATTTGAATAAAAAGAGAAACCATGCCTCAAGTGCCATGCAGCATGAAAAGCTCTTAACCTGGCTCATTTTGGTGAATTCTCACAACGTCCCTGGAAGGCAGAGCACTTCAGAACTGCAGGGACAGCCCCTTAGGAACTGTTTTTAATTCACTGGAAAAAAAATAGAATAGAAAATAGGATAGTGTAAATCTAACTGTGTGAAATTTGTGTTTCAGTGGTATAAACATGTACTTACAATGTATTTCTTTTGGATTTCAATCTCCAAAGTGTGAAGGCCTCTGTTCTAAAGAAGGTAGCTGCAGGAGCCCCATTTTGCAAGTGAGGAATGAGGGTCAGTGAGGCAGAGTGAAGTTCTGGGGCCTCCTGATTGATTGTATGAAGTGTGGCCAGGTGTGCAGAAAGCAGGTGCACAGTCACTGGAGGAGGCAGCAGTTACTCCTGAGAGGAAGGCATGTTGCTCTGGGCAGGCTTCCTGAAGGGGTCGGTGATTGTGCTGTACCTATGGTGACCGTCCCCTCCTCTTTCCACCCCAGGCCTCGCTGACCCCTGTGAAGTCAGGCGAGCACAAGGATGAGGACAGGCCGAAGCCAAAGGACCGCATCGCCTCGTGCCTGCTGGAGTCGTGGGGAAAGGGCGAGGGCCTGGGCTACGAGGGTCTGGGCCTGGGCATTGGGCTGCGTGGGGCCATTCGCCTGCCCTCCTTCAAGGTCAAGAGGAAAGAGCCTCCAGATGCTGCCTCCTCTGGTGACCAGAAGCGGCTGCGGCCCTCAACCTCTGTGGATGAGGAAGATGAAGGTTTGTGCCCTGCTCCCCCAGCCTCTCACTGGGTGCTGGGGCCCCCTTCTTCCCCCTCCCTTCCAGCCCAGCTCTTACACCTCTCCTTCCCTACAGAGTCCGAGCGGGAGCGGGACCGGGACATGGCAGATGCCCCCTGCGAGCTTGCCAAACGGGACCCCAAGGGTGTGGGTGTGCGGCGACGGCCTGCGCGGCCACTGGAGCTGGACAGTGGTGGGGAGGAGGACGAGAAGGAGTCTTTGTCTGTGTCCTCGTCCTCATCAGCGTCCTCGTCCTCGGGGTCCTCAACCACCTCACCCTCATCCTCGGCATCCGACAAGGAGGAGGAGCAGGATAGCACTGAGGAGGAAGAGGAGGAGGAGGAGGAGGAAGAGGTGGACGAGGAGGAGGAGGAGGAGGGGGGCCCCAGGAGCCAGGTCTCCTCGTCCTCGACCTCATCCACATCAGACAAGGTACAAATCAGACAGTAAGTTTTCAGGGTTCTAGACCAGGTGAGGATGCCTGGGCCTCTTGGCTCACCTGTCTCCATCCCTCCCTCTCCCCTAGGATGACGATGACGAAGACAGTGATGAACAGGATGGGTCTGAGGATGATGGCGGAGATGCAGTCCTGTCAGAGGAGAGTGAGGAGGAGGAAGGGGGCTCAGGTGGAGGTGAGCCAGGGTGGCTGTGACAGCCCAGCCCAGCCCAGGGTCCTCTCTGCAGGGGGCAGAGCCTGAGCAATAGTCAGAAATGTTTTGGGGGCAAAATTACATGCTTTTGAAATATTCACTTGTTCACACACACACACAAACACACACACAGCATATTGTGTGATTCCATGTATGCGAGATGTCCAGAATGGCTAAGTCCATGGAGACCGAATGCAGATCAGGGTTGCCAGGGCCTGCGGGGAGGGACCAAGGGGCTAGCTAGAAGGCGAATGGTTTCTTACTGAGCTGATGAAAATGTTGTGGAACTAGATAGAGAGGGTGGATGCTCAACATTATGAATGTACTGAGTGTCACTGGGGTTGTTCACTTTTAAACGAACAGTTAGTTTTATGTTACGTGAATTTCACCTCAGTTTAGAGAAAACGATGACTTGTTAACACCCCCCTTCTCCCCCACATCCACACATCAGAGGGCCATGTTCAGCCTGGGTGCCTCCAGTATGAGGCCTCTAGAGAAGCGTCTGGTGGGGGGTTGGGTCACAGCAGATCATGAGACAGCTCCTCATCTGTGTCCCCCCATCCAGAGGAGACACTGAGCATTGCAACCTCCAAGGCTGAAGCCGAGTCATCCAGTGAGAGTTCTGAGTCTTCTGAGTTTGAGTCAAGCTCTGAGTTGGAGTCTGAGTCCTCGGAGGAGGAAGAAGCAGTGGCTGCAGGGGAGCAGGAGGAGGACGAGGCCGCAGAGCAGGAGGCAGCGGCGGTGGCAGATGAGAGCGTGGCTCCTGCAGGCCCTGAGGACTTGGAGGAGGATGGGGAGGAAGCCTCCCAGGCCCCGGGGGCACCTGTGATGAAGTCCTTGGGCACGGAGGAGGAGGTGGACATCGAGGCTGAGGACAAAGGCCCTGAGGAGCGGATCTCTGTGCAGGAGGAGCCTCCCTTGCCTGTGGGTGTGGAGGAGGTGGTGGGCTCCAAGGAGCCCCCCAAGAAGCCTGGCCTGAACCAGGAAGGGGCCATGTCCGTGTCCCCAGAGCCCCCTGCGGGAGAGATGGAGGCCCGGCCCCCATCATCCCCTGAGCATGCTCCAGGTAACACCCACAGCCCCCAGGGAGGGCAGCAGGATGTCCTCACCATCATAATCATCCCAGGCCCCTTGGGTAGATCACTCCACCTTCCCGGGCCTCAGCGGACCACCTCCCCCGTGGGGTGGTATGGGGGATAGAGGGAGGTATATAACGTGCCTGGTTCATGGTGGAGAAACCCAGAGGGTAATTGTTGCTGCTGTCGTTCCTCAGTGCCAGTATTTCCCCCGTGGTTTGGTTATGAACTATTGGTTCCGTGAGATGCTCCCAAACAGGGACAAGTGTCTGGGGTCATTTTAGTGACACACAGGGGAGAGGGGCTGCAGGCACTGTGCCCTCTGCTGTCTTCATGGTGCTACACCAAACATATGACAGGCTCTGACAACACCATCCTGTAGAACTTTCTGCAGTGATGGAAACTGTGCTCTGTCTGCACTGTCCCGTAGGGCAACCACTAGACACACTGTTGCTCCTGAGCTCTTGAAATGTGTCCAGTGCCACCGTGTAACTGAATTTGTAATACTATTCAATTTTAATTCATTTTAACTTATTTAGCCATACGTTAAATATATTTAACTTACTTACTTACCTTTAATAAGTCCATCAGGAAAGAAAACATTGTGTCTTGTTTAATGTATTTTACTTTGTTTATTTGGCTGTGAACCACAGGTGTTTGAATATTGACTCAATATTTATTTTTACTTATGTTTTTGGTTGCTGGCTGGTACAGGAATCAAACCCTGGACCTTGGTGTTACCAGCACCACACTCTAACCAACTGAGCTAACCAGCCAGCCCTGGACTGAATATTAAGCCTCTGTTGTGTTCTCTGTATTGTTTCGGGTACTAACAATACAACAGTGGACCTAACAGACAGAAATATCTGCTCATGGAGCCTACCTACATTCTAGGGCAGGGTGAGAAATGACAACAGATAAATCGGAAAATGTATCCTGTGACAATGGAGAGAAATGCTAGGAGAAAAACCTTGACAACTGTGACAAGTCCTGTAGAAAAGAGACTTGTTGGATTTATTCCATCACAGAGCAAATTTTCTAAGACCACAGGAACGTTGTTCTGAAGACACAGTGTGAAAGGCTAGCAGCCACGTCTCCTGCATCTTTGGTTTACCCCACCAACATTTATGAAGCACCTACTTTGTGCCTGCCACTGAGCTTGGTGCTCAGTAGGCCTTGAGTGGTTGAGCTGCTCACAAAACCCTGGGGGACTGAGAGGGCTGTGAGCTGGTCAGGTATCAAGCATGTAGTAGGCAGCAATAATAGGGCACTGAGAGATGTTTGATGATAATGGTCTGGTTTTTGCCCACCTCTCTGCAGAAGACGACCTGGAAGTGGAGCCCGAACCTCCTACAATGCTGTCCTTACCCCTGCAGCCACCATTGCCACCACCCCGGCCACCCCGGCCACCTAGCCCACCACCAGAGCCTGAGACCTCCGAACCCCCACACCCGCCCATCCCTCTGGAGCCTCCACCCGAGGACCAACCCCCGCGTACTCCAGGTCTCTGTGGCAGCCTGGCCAAGTCGCAGAGCACAGAGACAGTGCCAGCCACGCCCAGTGGGGAGCCCCCACTGTCAGGGGGCAGCAGCGGCCTGTCAATGAGCTCCCCACAGGTGCCCGGCAGCCCCTTCTCCTACCCATCCCAGTCTCCTGGCTTGAGCAGCGGAGGCCTACCACGGACACCTGGCCGGGACTTTAGCTTCACACCCACCTTTCCTGAGACTGGTGGTCCCCTGCTCCTGCCTGTCTGCCCCCTCCCAGCTGGCCGGCGAGATGAGCGCTCTGGCCCCCTGGCCTCCCCGGTGCTCCTGGAGACGGGCCTGCCCCTCCCTCTGCCCCTACCCCTGCCCCTGCCCCTGGCATTGCCTGTGCCCGTCCTGCGGGCCCCGGCTAGGGCCCCCGCCCAGCTACCACCCCTGGCCCCCTGCCCACCCCCCATCAAGAGGAAGCCGGGCCGGCCCCGGCGATCCCCGCCATCCATGCTCTCCTTGGATGGGCCCTTGGTCCGGCCGCCAATGGGGGCCACACTTGGAAGGGACCTCCTGCTCCTGCCAGGCCAGCCACAGACCCCAATCTTCCCCAGCACCCATGACCCACGGGCCGTGACCTTGGACTTCCGGAACGCAGGGATCCCGGCCCCCCCACCGCCCCTTCCTCCCCAGCCACCTCCACCCCCTCCTCCACCACCTCTTGAGCCAACCAAGCTGCCCTTTAAGGAGCTAGACAACCAGTGGCCCTCCGAGGCCATCCCTCCAGGCCCCCGTGGGCGTGACGATGTTACCGAGGAGTACATGGAGCTGGCCAAGGCACGTGGGCCATGGCGCCGGCCACCGAAGAAGCGCCATGAGGATCTGGTAGCCACCTCAGTCTCGCCTGAGCTCTCACCACCCCAGCCCCTCTTCCGGTCCCGCTCAGAGTTTGAGGAGATGACCATCCTGTATGACATCTGGAATGGTGGCATCGATGAGGAGGACATCCGCTTCCTGTGCGTCACCTATGAGCGACTGCTGCAGCAGGACAATGGCATGGACTGGCTCAACGACACACTCTGGGTGTACCATCCCTATATCCTGCTGGACGGAGGGGTGGGGGGTCCACACCTTCTAGGATGTGGGAAGTCCTCATCCACAACTCTGGGCCTGTCTCCTAGTCTATAGCAGTCCACAGTACCTATGAAGGCCATAGCATGAGTCACAGTCACCTACCAAGCAGTGTCTGCGTGCCAGCATCTTGCCAGGTTCCAAACTGAATCATCGTCGGCACTTCTAAACACTTCCTCCAAGCCAGGCTCATCTCACCCCACAGTTAGGTTTCAGGGCCAAGCGTAACGGTGGTAGCAAAGACTAACTGAGGTCCCACTCATGGCCCCTTCATCACCTGATTTAATCCTCCCAATAGCCTAGTGAGGTCAGGGCTGTTAATATCCCCAGTTTGCATATGAAGAAACAGGATCAGAGAGATTAAGTGACCTGCTCAAAGACACAGCTACAGAGTGGCAGAGCTGAGATTTGAACCCAGGCAAATCTGGCTCTAGAATCTAGGCTCTTCATAATGCTGAATGCTGGTGCTTGGTTGTTAACCATAATCCTGGGAGGTTGGAGCCATCATTATCCCCATTGTTCCAAACTAATTTATTGAGCATTTACTGTGTCAGGAACTCTGCTAAGTACCCTACTCATATGTAATCATTCAGGGAAGCATCATTGTTACCCCAATTTACAGAGGGGAAACAGGCAGAAAGTGTTTAAGGAACACTCCCAAGGCCGTGCAACTAGGTACTGTCAGCGGAACTGGCCAGCAGGCAGCACATGGAGATGGCTTATCAGTGGGCGGTAGAGCTGGGCATCATTACCCCCATGGATTGGTCTGAGGATGGGGAGGTGGGCCCCATGGGACAGGTCTCCCAAGGGACTGAGAGGGGCTCTGAAAATGTCTGTGTGGCCCTTGACCCACACCCACCCACCAGCCTCTCTTCAGCTAAGAAAAAGAAACGGGATGATGGTATCCGTGAACATGTGACGGGCTGTGCCCGCAGTGAGGGCTTCTACACCATTGACAAGAAGGACAAGCTCAGATACCTCAACAGCAGCCGTGCCAGCACTGACGAGCCCCCCACAGACACCCAGGTACTGCCACCAGGTTCCTGAGCAGCAGAGAATCTGAGCAGGGCACATGGGCAGTGTGACTTACCTGGGCTCAGGTGTGAGAGGTGAGGTGAGGGCTGGGCTAAGCTGAGGAGCCAAGGGAAGAATTGTTCTTTATCCTGTTGTGGGCATGAAGAGTTTCCGAAGGGTTTTAATTAGGGATGTGAGCAGAGTTGCATTTCCAGAAGGTTCATTCATTCCTTTTTTAATTTAGCAAACATCTATTGAACACCTGCTGTGTACCAGGTGCTGTTCTGGGGCTACAGCAGTGAATAGACAATTCCTTTTCCTCATGGAGCTTATATTTTAGTGAATGGAAGGAAATAATCAAATGAGCAAATAAGCATATAAGTCCAGGCGGAGAAAATGCTATGGAGAAAACATAGAGGAGGTAAGGGATTGGCAAGTCAGGGAGTGTCAGAGAAAGTCACATTTGAGACAGACCTGAATGAAGTGAGGGAACGAGCCACACAGCTTACAGGGAGAGACCACAGAGAAGCAGGAAAGGACTTCCACAGAAGCTAAAACAGGAGAGGGGTGCACCAAATCCAGGAGGTCACTCACAGAATATCATGTGCAAAGGCCCTCGGGCAGGTAGGAGCTCAGTGGTGTGGGACAGGAAAGTCCAGTTGTGGCCAGAGAGACAGGTCAGGTCATCAGGGTGCTGGGCGCTGTGGTGACAAGGTTAGATTTGTATTCTGTGTATGATGGCAAGCCAAGGGAGGGTTTCAGAAGAAGAGGTGGCCATGACGTGGTTTAGTCTGTGATTTTTGGACCTTACCCTGGCGGCTGTGTGGACAGTTGACTAGAGGGGTCCAGAGGGGAGAGAGCAATATGGTTGCTGCAGTTTCTGGGCCAGACAAGAGGGTGGATTGAATTTGGATGGTCATGAGGGAAGAAGGGGATGCATTTGAAAGAATATCAGCAAGCCAAGTGGATAGGACTGGGAACTAGATAGGGTAGAGGAGACAAGGGAACCAGGTGGGAACAGCCCAGGGTCTGGCTTGGGGGACTGAGTAGCTGGGACGGGAAGGCAGATGGTACCCTCACTTTGGGCCAGGTTGAGTTTCAGAGTTTGCAGAACATGCAGGTAGAGAGGTCTGGCAGGCAGTTAGATATAAGGGTACAGTAGAGCTTGGGAGGGGGATTTCCAGTCTGGGGCCTAAATTCAGGTATCATCAGAATGGAGATGATGATCGAAGGCCACTGTAGGTGCAAGCTCACCCAGGGAAGACATGGAGGGGAGGAGCAAAGTTGCCTGGGGAGCGCAGAGGGTTGGGATGGGTGGAGGCAAGGGGGGCTGGGAAGGAAGGCGGGCCAGAGTGTCAAGAAGGATTTGGGATTGTGAACACTTGGGGGTTAGAGGAGACTTGGTGAGAGCCTCAGGGGGTCAAGTAGATACCCCCAGTCTTTCAAAACTTTTAGCTGAAACGGGAAAGACAGCAGAAGTCAAGGGAAAGTTCTGTTGTTATTTTTAAGATGGGAGGAGCTTGAGCACATGCAGATACTGATGAGAAGGAGAAGGTGGGGAAGTGGTGAGGATTGGGGACAGGCAGGCACAGAGAAGCCCAGAGCAAGGAGCCTGGAACCCAGAGCATAGGGTGGGTTTGCCGAGGAGGTAATGGGAGGCCCTAGTCTGTGGGGCTGCCTTGAGCTGCAGCATCCCTCCTCTGACCTGTCCCTGCGTCGTGCCCGGCAGGGCATGAGCATCCCGGCACAGCCCCACGCCTCCACGCGGGCGGGCTCAGAGCGGCGTTCAGAGCAGCGCCGCCTGCTGTCCTCCTTCACCGGCAGCTGTGACAGCGATCTACTCAAGTTCAACCAGCTCAAGGTGAGGCCAGGTGCCACCGAGGCAGCTGGGGTGGTGGTGGAACCTGAGACCAGGGCTCATCCCTTCTTTCCTTTTCTCCCCAAGTTCCGGAAGAAAAAGCTCAAATTCTGTAAGAGCCACATTCACGACTGGGGCCTGTTCGCCATGGAGCCCATCGCGGCTGACGAGATGGTCATTGAGTACGTGGGTCAGAACATCCGCCAGGTAGGCATTGCCCAGTGGGGCAGGCTCTGGGGTGGGAGCAGGCCATCCCAGCCCAGACTGACGCCCTTTTGTGGCCAGGTGATCGCGGACATGAGGGAGAAACGATATGAGGATGAGGGTATCGGTAGCAGCTACATGTTCCGGGTGGACCATGACACCATCATCGACGCCACCAAGTGTGGCAACTTTGCGCGCTTCATTAACCACAGCTGCAACGTGAGTGCCCAGCAAGGGGCCACTGCTGCCCATGCCTCTGTGCCAGGAGGACCTGGAAGCCCCTGGCACAGAGTCTCGGCTCCCTTCCTAAGCTCAGGTTGGCCGAGGGTTCTTGGAAGTGAGGGTGGGGGATGTGAGGCCTCGGGCAAGGAGCCCTTTTCCCTGAGTTTCTGTTTTCTAATTTATGAAATGGGTATAATGAGACTCCTGTTGCCATGTAAAGGACTAAAGGTGCTGCAGGGGTAGTTGTTTAATTAATCAGTAATTGTGGAGTGCCCTCTCTGTGCTAGGCTTCTTTCTGGGCCTCCACTGGTCAGACTTAGCACAGAGCCATCCAACAGAACTTTCCACTGTGGTGGAAATGTCCTGAGTCTATGCTATCTGCTGATGTAGACTGTAGCCATGTGTGGTGGTTGAGCACCTGAAATGAGGCCAGTGCAACTGAGGAACTGAGTTTTTCATTTTAAAATTTTAATTGATTTAAACTTAAATTGCCACCTGTGGCTAATAACAACCATACTAGGTGGTGCAGGTCTGGAGGTGGGCATTTGACAGGGATTCACATACTGAAGGATGAGCAGGGGAACCTCCAAACAGGAGGCAGGCTAGTTCTAGGAGGAGTACCCTGACTCTGGGTTCAAGTCTTGGCATCGCTACTTATTTACTGTAGGCTAGTTCATGTCTCTGTGCCTCAGTTTCCTCATCTGTAAAACACAGATGACAACGGTCCCTCCTTGTAGGTTGCTGGAAGGACCAAATGGGTTACTGTATGTGGGTCCTTCAAGTGCTGACATTGCAAGTCCTCAAAACGTGCTAGCACTCATGATTGTGACTTGATCCTTATCTGGGCTGGAGGGGGCCAGTAGAGACTTCCTGTGAATATCCTGAGATCCGAGAGCTAAGAGCAACCACCCAGGTGAAGTAGTGAGTGGGGCAAGCATTCTGGCCAAAGGGAAGAGCATGTTCAAAGGCCCTGGGGCGAGGGGGTGGGGAGACCACCTGTTTGAGAGATAGCAAGGGGCACAATGGGGATGGAGTAAGGGGCTGGAAGGTGGGGGGGAGAGGTTGAGATGGGCAGGGTTGAGGGTGACCAGGTCACTCAGCCTTGCTGACTGAGCTGGGGAAAGAGGAACCAAAAAGTTTCTCCAAAAGCGAAGGCAGGCCCCTGGAAGGTTTGGAGCCATAGGATAACAGGCTGGACCTTTGGAAAGATTTCCCTGGCTGCTGGGTCAAGAGTAGATTTTCTCAGGGTCAGAAGTGATAGTAGGGGCTGCTGCTGTCCAGGTGAACAATGATGGGGGCCTGGTCATGGCTGGTGGCAGTGCAGGTAAAGAGCTGTAGATAGAATCAAGGAATCCTCAGCAGACAGACCCCAGTGGACGTGGTGGTGGCCCACATCTGACATTGGTGGAGGAGGACACAGGGAGACAGCTGCTCCAGGGCCTGGGTGCAGCCACTGCCCAGGGTGGGAGAGATCACAAATTGAGGTTTGAACTTACTGAGTCAAAGATGTCTCCCTGAGCCATCAAAGGTAGCTTTTGAGCAGGTGGTTAGATTTATGGGTTTGGAGCAGGAGCTGACAAACGTTTTCTGTGAAGACCAGATAGTTAATAATTTTGGCTTTGTGGCCCACATGATCTCTTTAGCAACTACTCAACTCTGCCCTTGTAACCAAAGCAGCCACAGATGAGATGCAAATGAATGGATGAATGGGTGTGGCTGTGTGCAAATAAAGGTTTATTGACAAGAACAAGCAGTTGGGGGCTATAGTTTGCTGACTTCTTGTCTAGAGCTCAGAAGCGCAGCTTGAGGGAGCCAGCCAAAACACAGCTCAATTGGGAGACCGTTAGACTGAAGAAGTGAGGCCTGGGCTAGAAATATAAATTTGGGAGTCACCTGCAGTATAAATAGAAATGGAAGCCCTGGGAAATAGTTTTTGTCATCATCATCATTATTTATAATATCAGAGACAAGGGGTCCTTGTCACCTTATCACCCAGACGGGGGAGCCAAAGCCTAGAGAAGAGGTGGGGGAGGGGGTTTACTACAGTGATAAATCAGGCCTTGAGTGCAGGCTTGGTTGGGTTTGAGGGGGCTGTGGGGAACGGCCTGGGGGGTCTGGGTGGGTTGGCAATTCATCCTCCCCTCCCACCTCGCCCGCAGCCCAATTGCTATGCCAAGGTGATCACAGTGGAGTCGCAGAAGAAGATTGTCATCTACTCGAAGCAGCACATCAACATCAACGAGGAGATCACCTATGACTACAAGTTTCCCATTGAGGACGTCAAGATCCCCTGTCTCTGCGGCTCCGAGAACTGCCGGGGGACCCTCAACTAGGCCCCTGTGCCTGGTGCCAAACACGAAGGATGTCGGCTGCCACCCTGGGCTCCTGAGTGTGGACCCCACGGTCCCAGGGCCTGGCCCCACCTCCCGCCCCCATTTCAGGTGCTGTCCCTCCACCCAGCGGCCATGTCAGAGCCTGATGTCCCCAACACTACCCTCCAGGACCCACCCATGGCTCCAGCCCCTCAGCGGGAAAGGGCTTCTCTGTCTTTCAGCCCATGTCCCTTTTGTTTTTAAAAAATGCTCTTTTCAGAATTTTTATTTAACTCCAACAAAAACTTCTCTCTGTCTTTGTGTGTTTCTAACTCTCTCCATCTCTCTCTGTCTCTTTTTCTCTTTTCTCTTTACCGTCTTTCTCCTCAGCCTCTTCCCATGAATGCTGCTATGTTGTTTTGTCTTCTCTATTTTCTTCCTCGTTATAAGAAAAGACATTATAACGGTTGAAATGTGAAGGCAGAATCTGAGAGGGGGACCCCGGCGGGGCTACAGAGGCCTTGGTTTGACCCTGTGTCGGCTCATGTTCTAGAGCCTACCCAAGCCCAGACACTGGGCCAAGCGCTGCAAGAGAAGGGAGGGCTGGCTGGGCCGGCAGCCTTGACCTCAGAACACTACGGAGCCCAGAGGCCCCTTCTCTGCCCATGGACGCAGTGAGGAGACCCCACATCTTCCCCCAACATGCTCCCAACTCTGTCCCTTCCTCAGCAGTCTAGGGGCACCGCTTACCTGGGCAGGTCAAGCAGGAGTTTCCTCTCCCGGGCCCTCCCTGCCACCCCACCCCCACCCCCCAAACCTTGGGTTCAATGTTTACTTTCTCATTTGGATGCCAGCAATGAGAGAACCTCCTGGGGGCCCAGTGCAGTGGGGGCACTGGGAAGGGTCGTCTCAACTCTCTTGTGCCGTCACCTTCACACAGGCTCGAGGGGGGTTCCCAGGGCAGGCGGGGGCCCCCCCCCCCCCCCCCCCC